AGTCTGACAGCAGCTGCTTATGGTTGGTTAGCTCGGTTAGCGCAGACTACCAGCAGCTGATCCTGCTACTCTGAGCAGTAGTCAGTGTGTCACTCTGTTCATATTACCTCCTGCGTCACACCCTCCGTAGCCACAAGACCATGCACCCTGTATGATGCTCTCTCGTGCATTTTTTAAGATTTTCTGGGAGGGAGCAGAATTTAGGGATTTAGTTACACCAAGTGTCAGCTGATGGCCCCCGATGAACCGTCTAATGTATCATTTTTACATTAATCACTGCAGGTTTTAAAGTTTTATTCTGCTTGAGTAAAGGCGAGCAAGTGGTTGATACGAGCAGTATCTGATGCATGTAATATTGTACCACACCTCAGCCTGTTTGAGTCTGCAGCTGGGCTTTCCTCTCATCTGTCTCTCTAACAATGCAGTACAGCTGTTCTCCTCCTCCAAACATATCTGTCCTCGCCTCCTCTCTGCCTCCCCAGCTGGCTCCCTCCATCTCAGTCTCACACAATATGAATATGAAAACACAGTGATTCAGTGTGCAGGCGAGGAAGGACAGCGCTCTCGACTATATTAAATCCATCTCCATCTCAGACGGAGAACAGAAGTACAGCCCTGAACTCTACTCTGTGAACTCCTCACTCAATTAATATACTGACTACTAAGCTGCAGAGACACACTGACAACTCTCAGACTTTTACAGCTTTTTTTTAACAGAGAAAGGAGAGTTCAAAATATCTTACAGTTGAACCAAACTCCTACTATATAAAGAAAGACTTGAGTAAGCCAACAGTTTGTAATTTCCCTCCAGGACGACATATCTCAGCTGTTTCTGAACAGTTTTCCCTGCCTTCCACAACTGTTTCAAATCACCGTTGCAAAAATAAAATGAGTTTTTTCTGATCTGACACCACTATGGTTGAGGTTTGGTTGGGTTTAGTCACAAAATTGACTTGGTTAAGGTTAGGAAAGATGTTTTTTGGGTTGAAATAACGGTAAGCAAACAGTGGTCTCCTGTGTCAGTCAGGCCTCCTTTGCACCCGACGTGCAAGAACCATAATTACTGCAGTCTTTGTCACTAAGCAAATGTCATTTTTGGGAACTTGCTGAAATTATGATGATGAATGTTGATGTTTTTCAGTCTCCAGAAAGCATTTAGTGAACAACGAGGCAGATAGTGGCCAAGACAAGACAATAACTTTGGTTTATTACACCCTGGCTCTTGTTTTTTTTTTTTTTATAGTTTGGCCATTTTTGTATCTTTTATACTGCAGTAAATTTGTTTTCAGTAAAGTAAACCATGACATCTGGGTACACAGCGACATTGCTACAACAAAGTCTGACACGGTAAGAAGCACAAGCAGTCACACAGGTGGTAATCAAGCCAACACTTTTCCCAGATTATGTGACCCACTTCAGTGTCGGATGAAGAGTTCTGGGTGAATGGAGTCAACAAAGCATGAGACTTTGACACAGGAGACAGTTCAACAGCCAATATTGGTTTCTTTAGCCTTGTTTTAGGCTTTGTGAAAATTATTTTTGAGACAGTCCAGTGGATTTTTATGTTCTGTTTAGCCATAGAAGGAGCATTTAGTCCTTCAGGTTATCCGGAAACATGAAATACATAAAAATTTAAGATACATAAAGTATAACAGAGCTAGAACTGGTTTGGTATTAAACTGTCAAAATAATCCCAACTGCATGCAAAGACATATGTAATATGTGAGGCTTGTGTCACTAGTAGTAAAAATTGTAAAAGATTACACAAAAAAATGATCCTGTTAATGAATGAAGACATGTTTCAGCTTTTATTTTTTAAGTTTTTAAGGGTAAATATACATTTAAAAAAATAAAGATTATTCTAAAGAGATTTTTTCAGCAGAAACTGAATATTTCTACCTTAAACTACTTAACATGTCTTCCATGAAGAATCTTTCTATAAAAAGCTGCATCATCCCCTCGGGTTTTATTAAAACCGGCCTGTTGCTTTAGCAGCTCTTTATCTGTACTTTTAATTATAGCTGCCCCATCAGACCAGGCAGTATAATTCTCCTAAACACCAGCACACCTTGCCAAAATGTGTCATCTTTCCTCTGTCGTCACAGTTGTACCAGCACAGTCTGAGATGCTTGACAGATTTACAGCAGTCCTCGCTGCAATCCTGACGTCATCCAGTGGGGACAAACAACATAACTACCTACCAGTAATTACATAATGGATCTCAATGCAGACAGACAGGTCAGAGATCAGCTACCGAGCAGCAGGTGGATGTTTGCTGACAAAAAAAGCGCATTGAACAGAAGTACCTGCTTCTGTTTTAATCCATTGACTCAACAGCAACCAAAAGTCGACTTTACCTCCATGACAGCAGTCATTTTTTATGAGTAGAGGTTATATTTTTCAAAAATCTTATATTCTGATTTGCCCTCGTTATTTCAGTCTCACAGTCAAATAAAACATGTTCAGCAGTAACAGCTGAGAGCTGGATCCTCGGCCTTGTGATGCCTCACTTTACCCTGCCGGCTCATTGTGACGGCTGAGCTGTTGACAGCAGGGCACAGTAATGAATACCCCCTAGCCCCCCCCCCCCCCCACCCCCCAGCTGCATAGAGTGTCAATGTAAATGTAGTTTTGCTGTTCTTAGTGTTGTTTCTTTAACCAGTTAAAGCCAAATGATCCAGGAGGATGTCCTGTAATGGGATTATTACAGCAGTGATGCAGCAGCACGGAAGGAGAAACATATGTCACAGCAGCACCCACACTGTTCAGTGACAGCAGCTCTCTGATACACAAACTCTGTAACAAAGACACAAAAACACAGTTGAGCTGGCCAGTTTTCCAACATATACCAATATAAAGAACCAGTGTGTAGGATTTAGTGACATCTAGATTTAGTGAAGTTGCAGATTGCAGCCAACTGAATACTGCTCGCCTTGCAAGGGTGTGGGAGAAACTGCGGTGGCTGCGAAACTCACGAGAAATGTCCCTACTACAGCCAGTGTTTGGTTTGTCCTTTCTGGGCTATTGTAGGAACATTGTGCTTCAACATGGGTGGACTCTGTAGAACCCTCTACCTCTCTATATAACATTGGCTCATTCCAACTAGTAATGTAACTAACGTTAGCTGTATTGTGGGTTTGTCAACTGTCACCAAAGTTACTGCTGTGCAGCAAACAGGCAGAGCCAGCGCACCAGCTCCAGACAGTGATACTCACTACTACTAAAGGTAACATCACAACAACAGCATATCTTGGCAAACTAGAAAGTAAGCTTATTGTCAGTGGGCAAGCTTTTTACCATTATCTGACACAGAGTTCCTGGCTGGAATGGCCAGAATAACAAGTTAGTGTTGGTGACTGAGTCTGATCCACATTGTTTGTTTCCCACTCACAGAGCCCGGGCTGTGTACAACCACAGGGCGTACTGTGAAGAGATATTCACTCGATTTGAAAAAAAAAAAGCATATAGAATTAGAATTTGCTTACTGTACCTTTAGATAAGGAATATTGTAACACAATAGGACAATATCATCGTACGATTCAAGTAAAAATCATCTCACTGATTTTCACTCTGAAAAGCTTTGAAAAGATGTTTTCATTAAATTTCCAAGAATCGAGGTGTTGATCTCAAGCATTGTTCCTTAGCAGCAACTTCCAGACTTCACAAAGACCAGTAAGCATTCACTTCTGGCTCAAAGCAAAGCAATCACGCTCTCCGTACCTGGTTTTAGAGAGCCAGTCAAAGTCGAATAATGCACTGCAATTCTCCAAGACCCGAATGAGTCATTTCACTTTTAGCTTAAGATTTCAGACCCAAAAATAAATGCATTGGATGTTTGTGAAATGGGTGTATCTGCATTATTAGTATGCAGTTTGGTTTTATACAGGTGAATACAATTTGATGGACTTTTAAACATTATAAAGTAAATATCAAATACAGTTTTTAATGGCTGGTGAGATCATTCAAAGTTTGTGGGAAGAAAACGTATTCATGAATAAAAGATTTCACATTGCATAGAAACAGTCATGCGATGAGTCTGCAAACACACTTTAAATCCACCGACAGACATCACCATGACAACACAATGTCCTGCATACATGTACTGCGGCGGAGAGATCCTACATATTGCCTCTCTGAGAATATTAGTAATTTAAAGTTGTGTTTGAGGAAGAGATGGAAAGCAGGTGGGTGGTCCGATGAAGAGCAGTTTTTCTTTACGGAAAAAATGTTTTTTAAAAAAGGGGACAAACAGGAGAAAGAGGGATGAGGGGGAATTAGAGAGGAAGGAAGGAGGTAAAAAACCGTGGGTGCTTTTCAAATAAAACTTGCCCGAGAGAGTCAAGGGATGGAGGGATGAAGAGGAGGGTAAAGTCTATGAGTCATGCTGAGAGATGAGGACAAAGAATTCAAGCAGAGAACATTTATGGGGAATATGAGCTTCTGTAGGAATAATAAAATAAAAAAACTCGAGATGGAGAGAAGGAGGGAGAGGGGAAGAAGGAGGAATGAGGAGGAGGTTTATTAGTATTCTGGCTGAGAGAGGAGACCAAAGACAAGACAGAAAGGGGGGGAGTTGGAGGAGGAAAGATGTGGGGGGGTGGGGGAGCTGAAGTGAGAAGAGGAGAAAAGAGAGATGGGTGAGTTAAGGTGAGAGCCACGGAGAAAGAAGCTAAAGAAACAGAGGGAGCTGACAAGAAGGAGAAATGTTATGTATCTGCACACAAACACGAAGCGTACTATTTATAGCTGTGACTGTGTGTGTGTGTGTGTGTGTGTGTGTGTGTGTGTTTCTGCATGCTACAGTTTGTGTGCATGAACGCATAATTGTACAGCTGGTTGGTTGTCTGTTTGTGTGACTGTGTGTTTGTGAGGGGACGTATGAGGACAAAAGAAAATGATGAAGGACTCCTCAGTGGACAATAGTTGGTAAATTGCGTTTTAGTTCCAGAACAAATGGAGAAAAACGACACAAAGAATGAAAAATTAACATCAGCGTTGAAACTGTGTCCAGCAGTCCAGACACAGCAGTACCGGGTCAATGCGTGGAGTGAACGGAGCAAGCCCCATTTCAGCTCCCGGTGCTAAAAATCCGTTTAATATGTTGTCCCCATATAGAGGACATATCAGACATTTAACTGATAAGAACAGATACCACACTTGATACTACCCATGGCTCCTTCCTTTTAACAAGGGATAACCAAATTGAGGAGGCCGGCTTCCCCCACCGTCAAAACATGTACGTTAGATGGAGTCTCCAGTCAGTTCCCCGGGCTCAGATCAGGAGCCGGCCCCCGGGAGCTGCTCACTGCTCCTAATGCTTGGGTTGGAGGTCAAGCCCAGATAATGAGTTTCTCTGCAGGGGAAATAAGTAAAGGATTTGTTCACCTGAGCCTCACGGCCACGTTGGGTGCCGGCTATAATGTTCTTTTTTTTCTTCTATGTTTCTACTAATAAATATAAATAAATCATAAATAATAATAAATCAAAAGTCCATATTATGTTAAAAAAATATAGGCTCATTATAATGACTGAATGAAAAAGAAAAAAACCTAACACTCAACCTCGACCTCTTGACCCATCCTAACTAATCCTAAATAGGAGAGATGAAGTGAGACAGGAAAATGAACGTCAAACATTTTGACACAACGCTGTCGTTAAAGATTCATTTAAATCATTACAAAATTAGAAACGCTTCACGAATTCGCGTGTCAACCTTGCACAGGGTCATGCTAATCTACTCTGTATCGTTCCAATTTTAGTACATGTGTTACCGAAGTGACACAATGCTAATAAGTGTCTGCGAGCTATTTATATGGGGTCTGTGACGGCAGACTGTTGACTCATGGTGCTACTCAGAGACAGCAAAATAAGCTTAAACCGGTTCTAAACGGCTCTCAGACCGCCGGTACCGACAAAATGAGGAGTCTGTGTGTTGTACGGTGAGTTCTGTACCTACAGTGACCCATCTAGACACGAACTGAGCCGTCTAAAGCCGTATTTGGGTCCCGTATTCTCTACTGAGGAACATAGGGGGCTGATGGGAATTCTATGCAAATTATTGCTACGTCAGACAGCAACGATTGGTTCGAACTGTAGCTCCTCCCACCCGTCGGGGCTCCAACTGTTGCTTAGGCGCACACACATATACTACATACATATTTATATATATATATATATACTCATGTAAGATAAGATAAGATTGACATATTAAAGGCTAACGTTATTTAGTACTTTGAATTATTAATGAAGGTAATGAAACACAATCACATCCTAAAGTGTGTTGATATATTTAGAGGGAGGGAAAGGGAAGGAATATTTCAAATATTAGATTACATTAAATTCAATAAATTTATTTTTTACTTTATTGAGAATATAGTCATTCAATACATTAACTATATGAGTATACCAAACATTTCATTATAAAATATTTTTTTCTAATATTAAGTAAATAACAGCAGCAACTTATACGATCAAGTTAAGAAACATATTGATACGTAACATTCTCATTATTGTCTTTGCGTTTTATAAGGCTTGTCAGAAAGCTGATAACAAGGGTAAACACATCACATACACTCACACACACATATATATATGTTAATAGATAGATAGATAGATAGATAGATAGATAGATAGATAGATAGATAGATAGATAGATAGATAGATCAGATGTAACATAGTAAACACTATACACTATATATTGAATTACATAATGTGTCTGCCTCTGTCCGTCTGCCCCTCCCGTCCTGCAGAGGAAACCCTGTGTGTGGAGGCCTCTTTAAGTCAGGGTGAGCAGTTAAGGAATGAGTCCTCCTCTCCGGCTGCCAAGGACAGGATTACCCAGCAGACAGCCACGCTGCTGCCTTCACCTCGTCCTGACCCGCCCCATCATCCACACACACCCACCACCCACCACACACACACACACACACACACACACACACACACACACACATCCACAGAGGATGCTCAACACCAACACCTTTCCCTCAACACCTCCTAACCTGAATCCTTTAAATCCTCCACATGGCAGCCAGAGGTGACTGGATGTGTTTCTATGTCAGTAAGCCAGTCTGTGATGATTTATAGCAAAATAAACCTAAAGGAAGAAGAAAAACAAACAATAGGGAATCTGATTGGAACGGGAGAGAAGATTACTTTTATGGGGTAAAAACATTACCTTTATGAAATGTACATAATGTTTGTAAGTCACTTACTTTGAATAATTTCTCAAACATGAGTTTTACTTTATTTTTATTGCATTATTTGCATTATTTTCATTATTATTATTATTATTTGCATGCACGGAGACAGAGTTTGCGCACGTGTTCTGACTGAGTGAGTAAAACTAAAATAAATAGAATATTACGAATGTACTGATATAACACTGTGACCCCAGAGTACTTTTACGATGTACTGACATGGAATTTGTCTGTTTTATTACGTTTTGCCGCAGTAACTACATCTACAGGGTCTAAGGAAGATAACCAGGTAGTCTGATCAAAGATGAAATATATATTTTGAGAGATCACCAGCATGTAATGTAATGTAATGTAATGTAATGTAATGCATTGGAAATGAATGGGGCTGTAGCTCGGATGCTACACTGTAATTACAACATGTGACGATCTCTGAAAACAAAATTTAATTATGAAAAGACTACACAGTTAGTATCTTTAGAGCCTTAAGATTATAATATCACCACGTGAAATCAAAAGATAAAGTGTAAGTGTATGTTTTATGCATTAACAATAAGCCTGTTTGGTTAATGGCTGCCAGTGCATAGGGGGTTAACCCTGGGCTCCTACAGTGGCCTCCTGCTGTACTCCCTTCACCAGCTCAGCCAAAGCCTCTCTCTACGTACAAAACTTTGTGCTGGTTCATCTGCTGTTGCCACTGGCTCTGTTGCCGCCACGTGGTTTTAAAAAAAAAGCCTTGTATGCCACAGGTACTTCACACTCTCTAATGCCGCTGCGTTATGCATCCATGCATGTCTGTACTCAGCTCTTATACTATGTGTCTGTCTGCTGTGATTGATGTTGTTTAGTAACAAACAAAAAAAGCCTTGTATGCCACAGGTACTTCACACTGTACTGCTGCTGTGTTCGATGTGTTCTGCATCTATACAATAACAACAACAACAACAACAACAACAAAAAGATATTTAATTGATATTTATTTCGCTGAAGAAAAAGGGGAAACAAATCATACACAGCATGTAACTTTTATTTATACATAAGTAAATCATTGATTTACCCCTTTTTTTACTGAGAATTTTATTTTATTTTTAAAGCCCTTTTCACACTGATATGCTGCACTGTCCTGTATCCTGGACCTTTATTATGCCTTAATTAAGTCCTATGACTTCATATTTCAAATAAATTGTGTCATTATATACTGTTATCATTGTTGTCTTGTCCTATCTAATACTTAAAGCAATAAACAGTTGCTACTCTCAATAAAATGAAGACACAGGAGATAAACCATACTGTAAATGAAAAATCAATTTATAGCATTACCTGGCCTTGGAAATATGAAAAATAATTATAATTTATAGACTCAATACAACTTTTACAAGCATATTTTAATCATTTTGTAGTTATAGAACATATTGCAACACTTTACACACATTTCACGGTATGCTTCCATCGGGATTCGAACCTGCGAATAGGAGTACCGTTCTGCATGCTAACCACACGTCTTTTGCGTGTGGTCTTTTACCGCGCATGCGCACTAAAGCGCAAAAGTCGACCGAAAACGTGTGGTTAGCATGCAGAACGGTACTCCTATTCGTCGGTTCGAATCCCGATGGAAGCATACCGTGAAATGTGTCTAAAGTGTTGTAATATGTTCTATAAATAAAAAAAATGATTAAAATATGCTTGTAACCATTGTATTGAGTCTATAAATTATAATTATTTTGCATATTTTGTGTGGAAAGTGTTGAATGAATTTGCATATTTCCAAGGCCAGGTAATGCAATAAATTGATTTTTCATTTACAGTATGGTTTATCTCCTGTGTCTTCATTTTATTGAGAATAGTTATATATACAATCACTGGTGTTGGTCTCCCGCTCTCCCGCCAAACTGCACGCTGTGGCGGCTCAGTACCAGCATGGCGTTCCCAGGGTCGCCGCCTTCAGAGACGACGCGGGCCCTCGCCTTCTTCTCCACCTCCTCTGCTTTGATGGCCCTCGCAGCAGTTGCCTGCGGGCCACTGGCAGCCTTGGCAGGACAAGCTGCTGCCAGGCCGGTTATTTGGAAGTTTGCAATATCCATTTCTGTAATCAAAAGACAACATATTATTCAATATAGGCTGGCAATAAATGCCATGCAATGGTGCTTGTACATGCAAGGAATACATGCATAATGCATGCATTAAGGTGTATGAACAGTATTAACAGCAGCACAACCGTGCTATATGATGCAAAATGCACAGGAATACATGCATAACATGCATTCCTTTTGCACGTGCACGAGGTAGCAAGTATATAAACACGTGCACTGAATAACACATGGAGGCATATCACACAGAAATTGCACTTTGCATTTTCGAAATTATGTCTTGCAAACAATAATTCCAAGCTTAATTAGCCATATTTTCCCAACATACAACATTCCCTGGCATAGATCGCCATATTTTGATAACGTTGTCCGTCGAACTGTCAAAAGTTTGATGATAACAATAACAATAAACCACCGAACTATTTTTAACGCGTTCAAGTAACAACTAATGTCAAATGTGATGCAGGTACACAGTAAAAACACTCTGACTCTGGGCATTTCAGTGAATTCATAGTGTTTTATGTCATAAAGTTATATATTCGTTCTATGGGCTACTGACCGCAAAGCACGTCTCCTATCCTCGCTTGCTGCACGGATCTGTCTCTATGGCGTTGCTAGGGAGGCTTGGGCTCAACTTCGTCTTTAGAAGATCGGATACCTTCTGATTGGCCAATATTTCCGGACGGCTTCGTTTTAAGAAGATCGGGTATGTTCGTTTTAAGAAACACCGGGGTCTGATTGGCTGCCCGAGAGAGACGCGTTTTTCACCCTGGTCACATTAAATGAACGTTAAACGACAGCATTGTGTCAAAATGTTTGACGTTCATTTTCCTGTCTTACTTCATCTCTCCTATTTAGGATTAGTTAGGATGGGTCAAGAGGTCGAGGTTGAGTGTCATTATAATGAGAACTTATATTTTTTTAACATAATATGGACTTTTGATTTATTATTATTTATTTATATTTATTAGTAGAAACATAGAATGAATCACACACAGACAGATCCACATTATAGCTCGGCACCCAACGCAGCAGTGAGGCTCAGGTGAACAAATCCTTTACTTATTTCCCCTGCAGAGAAACTCATTATCTGGGCTTGACCTCCAACCCAAGCATTAGGAGCAGTGAGCAGCTCCCGGGGGCCGGCTCCTGATCTGAGCCCGGGGAACTGACTGGAGACTCCAGCTAACGTACATGTTTTGACGGTGGGGGAAGCCGGCCTCCTCAATTTGGTTATCCCTCATTAAAAGGAAGGAGCCATGGGCGGAGTTGCAGAGAGTTGTCATGCACAGGGAAAACCATCTCACCAGGGCAAGGGACAGCTGTCCCAGGAGGTGGCATCGGGCAGCATGGGCCCATAACGTACAGTATTAACAACGCTGTAAAGTTTGCTCACTTAACAGATGCCAGATGTTTTCTAGTGATTTAACTTCTCATTTATCTGCAGTGATGTAGCAGTGTACCCTGGTACTCTGTGACATCACTGTTGGGCATACATT